TCTCAGTATTTTTAACAGTCATCTTCTACCGGGAATTTGTGTTCATCTTTTCCCTATTACTGCTATTGAAGTACTGACGCCCTATCCGACATGGACGGCTAAAAAAACAGGACCTCATTTGATTTTTTTTTCCCCCAACTGGCTAATTGCACCTTGATAAGGATCGTGTCATATGATGTGAAAGCAGGAATTAGAATCTGTTTCCTGCTTTGACTTTAGTGGAGTTGCGGCATCTAGTGCAATGCCACTAATGGAAGTAAAAATCCCAGCCTTCATTTTTTCCCATGTTTGTCAGGGCAGCAGCTCTAGGATCGCAAAGGCCTAACTAAAAATCCAGCCATGTAAGAGAGTGAGAGCTTGTCTTGCCAACTTCAGCTGCTCTGTGTACGTTTGTGAGTATTTAAATTATTTATTCTGGTATTTCCCTGTGGCTTTGGGTGTGTGCGAAGCTTCAGCCTTCTTCTCTGCTCAGGTTGGAGGGAAGAAGAGGCCCTGACTTCCTGACTGCGAGGGCTGTCCTGTGCAACCTCTTTAACCCTGCCCTCCCTCCCCCTCCAAGGGAGGGGTCGTGATTTCGACTTCCCCTTAGGGAAATGAAACAAGCGTTCAGGGCTTCAGACTTGGCAGGGCTGCTGGCCCAAGCATTGCTTGCTCTTTTACTCTGTATCCTCACACAAGATCTGACAGAGAGCGGGAACTTTGCTGCCTTCTTGCCAATTGGAATTGGATCCTGGTAGCAAAGATTTTCCAAGCGATTAATGGTGCCTGACGGACAGCAGCTTCATCACCATGGACGAGAATGGAGAGCGGTAGAGGAAAGGGCAGAGAAAACAGGTAAAGGCAGAACTTAACCGCAGAGTGTTCTTGAGCTGGATTTATTTCTGTGCTGGGACACAGGAGATGTCTCCAAAGGAGGCTTGATAATCTGCTTAGTTAGTATGTGTTGATTTAAACAGCTTTGGTAGAGAGAGGAAAACGCTTGTACCAAGTGTGTGACAAGGATATGGTGGTGATGGTACAAGCTGAACTTTTTCTTTTCTTCAAAAAATGCTGTACAGAGAGAAGATTAAGGAGCACTGCAAGCAAGAGTTTAAAGTAGTGAGGACCTTTGAATATTTCTAAATTCTAGCTGTACTCAGTAACTCTGTGGTGCACAGAAGGATCATAAGGAATATGGCGTGTAGGGACAGTATAAGCAGTCATGTAAGATGTTGAATGTGGCTTTGTGTTAATTGAAACAAATCACAGGACTTTAAAAGTTTGGGAACGCGTGCATGATCTTGGAAAAACTGACTGCAGGAGTTTATATTCAGGTGTGGACTTGGATTGCTATATAGCATATACAGTACATATACCTTTCTCCCCCCCCCCCTTTAAAATAGTATAATTTCCTAGCAGTGCTCTGTAAATTGTGGACGTTGTATCCCTGCTACTTTTGTATGATCATTGAGAACTTGGATAGTTTCTTTAATAAAATTGTGCTTTTGTCACATCAGTCCTCTCGGTTCCATTGGTGTAGGGTGATGAGAACGGAAATCCAGTACAGATAGTCCTCGAAGTTGGCAAGCGGCCCAATTTTGATCACATGACCTTGGAGATGCTGCCACTGTTGTAAGTGTAAGTACTGGTCATAAGTCCCTTCGATGTAACTTCAAACAGTCACTAAACAAATGGTTGTAAGCTGAGGACTAGCTGTACCTTCCATTAGGAGTAATAAAATTAGATAATGTGTTCTTTTCAATAAATCCAGAGAAAAGTTTTATTCTTTGAAGGTGACATTTATTTATAAGAATATTTGCAAAAAAAGAACAGTTCAAGATACTTACAAGCTGACTGAAGATAAAGCTAAATCATAAATTTAGCTATAGTAATTATTTTTTAAAATGTATTGTGAGCCGCCCTGAGTCTTCGGAGAGGGGCGGCATATAAATTTAATTAATTAAATTAAATTAAATTAAATGGTCACTGATTTTTCATTCCAGCTTTGCTTCTCCCTGCTAGTGTGAAGTGCTAAACCAGGGAAATCAAACTCAAGGCCCGCAGGCTAGATCCAGCCTGGAGGATGCTTAGATCTGGCCCGCCAGCGAAAATGGGCTCCCAGTTTCCGTTTTCAGCTGGGACAGCCTCCTGCAACCCTTGCCAGTGAAAATGGAGCTCGGGAACCCGTTTTCCTTGGCAGAGGCACTGCAGGCCACCACATGCACCCCTGATATGAGTGACATCAAGCTGGCCACGCCCACCCTGGCCACACCCACCCCTGCCCCTCAAGGTCAAGCACAACTCTGATGCGGCCCTCAATGAAATCGAGTTTTGACACCTCTGTGCTAAACAGACTTGGCGAGCTCTGCTCAGTGCATTGTTATAAGTTATTTATGAGAATTGAAAATGCTTCTTTGCTAAGAGAGAAGCAAGCTAGAGGTCCAATGTGCATATAGCCCAAAATAAGATATGGGTACGATTTTGCTTACTTACACCCGTGACAGACAAAAGTCCAGCAGGAAATATTTGGCATTATCACATGCTGTGTATTTATAATTAATCTCTCTACTTTTTGGCCCAATGTAATGTGTACTAAAGGATATATTCTTTGAAGCTGTGCCATAATTGCAACAAATTTGTGGCGCCTTCTGGGCACTATTCATGTGTGTGGAAATATAACTAGAACTCAAGGTTAAAGGGCAACTCATGTCCATAGGCTGTATTGCTAATCTACTTTGGGATAACTTGCTGATAGTTGCTATTTACTTTTTGCCACTACAATGTTTGCTGAACCTCACTGCACCATTTTGGGGCAACTGAAGTTTTGTAAGTTTTGGTGCTTTTTGGTCTTCCTTCCAGATTGAAGAATTGTGGTTAGGGGAACACATCTGTTTTCTCTCAGTCCCCCCACCCCACCCCCATTTCTTTCCTGGACAGCAGAGTAGAAAGCAAGATTGGGTTCCTGTGAATATAAAACAGGACGGAAGAGGGTGTTTCCATCAAATTTAAGCTGAGGCTGCAGCTGCACCGAATTCCTGAATAGCCCAGATTAGTTTATTTAGCTCCAGTACAGTATGAAAACACATTTTATTTTCTCTGGGTAGGACAGTTTGGACTTGATTTAGAATTTGCTGAACAACTTTTTTTAAAAATATGTCTGAAGCATCCCCTACCCAATTTTATTCCTGTCAAAGATATTAATATTGTTAATCTATTTGAGAGGTGCTATCCTCAGTATCTCATATATCTTCAGCTCTCTGTTTACACATGGCCTTTATAATCCCAGTCAAGGATAAAGGGAGTTGTTATCTAGGTGGAGCTACAAAATAAATTTAAGAGAATTTGAGTTTGATTAACCTTGTGCTTTCCAATTTGCTGAATTAGCTATTTATTTTATTAGATTTAAATCCCTAGAAACATGGAGGAAATATATTCAGATCCTCCGTAAATGTAATGAGAAGATCCAAACCCAGTTCAGAATAGCTCCTTAACTTTCATAGAGTTTAATTCCAATGGAAGCAAAGTGTGATATTAGAACCGATTGCTTATTTATTTATTAGAGCAACATTCATTTCAGGTGCCAAGGTACAATACATAACGTTCAATTTCCTTTTTCTCTTTCCTGCTACAACGTTCCTGTGAGGTCTGTTGAGTTGATAGACAGTGACTAATTGGTCCAAAATTACCCACTGAGTTTTGTGGCTGAGAGTGGGGTTGAGCCCGATTCCTCAACTATAACCAATACCTTGATCAACATATCCCGTTTTTTTTCTTAATTACTTGAATTTCATCCCCGCGTTCTATAATTGTAAGGGCTGGAATCTTAATTGTTTAGAACTGTGATATCAGTCTAAGATAATGTTTCATGAACCTATTTGTTGGAGTACTGATAATAGTTTTTTTATATATAACGGGAGAAAATTGGGATACCCATAATTCCTCTTCCTAGAACACTGGAAACAACAAATAGGATGCCGTTTTCCTGCCTGGTACTAAGTTGCTCTGTCAGTACAGTTGTTTCTTGGATCTGTGACCCTCCTGGGATCATTAGGATTGCCATGAATTGGGACCATGCTGTGGTGAATCTTGAAGGAGGTGGGAGTGCACCCCCTCCTCAAGAGGCTGTCTCTGCACCCAAGGGTTTTATCCTTGTGTTTCCTAAAAAGGGAAGATTATCTAGTGGTTAAGGCACCAGGCTAGAAACCTGTGAGCTCTAGTCCCCCTTTAGGCATGAAGGCGGGGTGACTTTGGGCCAATCATTCTCTCTCAACCCAATTCAATTCACAGGGTTGTTGCTATGGGGAAAATAGGAGGAGGAAGGAGTATTAGAAACATCACCACCTTGAGTTATTTATAAAGATAATAAAGGCAGGATTTTTTTACAAATGTCCAGGATCCTGGAGGGAGTAGATTATCTGCCTGGAGAATTGTTTCAGTTGGGCTTCAGATCAACTTTAGTATGGAGATAACCAAGATGGAGGTGGTGCATCTGTTCTCATGCGCCATGGTTTTTGGGTGGTTTTCATTATTATCAACAATGTCACTATCTTGTTCTCTATTTTTTTGGTATGTGTGTTTCTATTTTTCTCTATACTATACTTCTTTTGTCTTGTTTTATGGTGAGCTGAATTGGGGCAGGGCCTAAATTTGAATAAATAAATAAATAAATCTGTAAATTGTCACACTGTTCAGACTAAATCCATCTCGAAGTATGTTTGAGATTAAAATAGAGTTATCTCAAGGTGGAAGTGCATATGTATGTATGTATACATGCATGTTTTAATATATACAATAATAATTATTCGGAATTCTTCATGTTTTTGAGGGAAGTATGTTTACTAGATAGGTACTGAAGCAAATGCTATATTTAAAACAAAATAATTATGAATCAGAAGAGCAAAAGACTTTGAGAAATTGACCTGATTTTCCTTCCTGAGGCTTCAAGCTGGAACCAGATGAAACCGGGAGAACCCAGGATCTGTTGACCTCCTTTCCTTTTCAAATAAGGTTAGAGTTCAGTGGTAGGCAATCAAACTTGTTTAGCTGCCAGAAACTTTCCTCTGACATTTTGATAAATGCTCCTGATATTCTAGTAGCTATTAGTCTAGCAGTGTTTCTCAACCTCAGCAATTTTAAGTAGTGTTGACTTCAACTCCCAGAATTAACCAGCCAACATGGTTAAACCAACATCTTAAAGTTGCTGAGGCTGAAAAAACACTGGTTTGGTGGTAAGACCCAAAAAACATGAGTTACTGACTTCTCCTAGATGAATTTGTCTGGCCTTTCATTTCTCAGGAATTCACAAAGGCTTGGTTCCTTTATTTAATCATGTTTTAATACCCAGAACCAGCGGTGAAATCCAGCAGATTGTGACAGGTTCTGGAGAATCGGTAGCGGAAATTTTGAGAAATTCGGAGAACCGGCAAATACCACCTCTGGCTGGCCCCAGAGTGGGGTGGGAATGGAGATTTTGCAATATCCTTCCCCCAGGAGTGGGGAGGGAATGGGGATTTTGCAATATCCTTCCCCTGCCACGCCCACCAAGCCACGCCCACAGAACTGGTAGGGAAAAAAATTGAATTTCACCCCTGCCCAGAACTGTCCTTTTCCTAGAGAGAAAAAACCTCCCATTTGTTTAAACTCTGCTAAGTCAACTTTTGTGCAACACACACACTCCACACCCCAAATTATTGAATGTCAGAGATGAATACCTAAGACACTCTTCACTGTACTGTATTTGTCCTCTGTTGCTTGGGATTGTGGTTTACACGATTGCTAAATGATTTTATTGTGATCATGTACTCTCTGTCTAGTCTGGCTGTGAGGGAAAATGGAATTTTATTTACCAATGGATTTTAAACATCTGATGGTCTTCAAATTGGAACTCCACAGAGGCATACGTGAAAATTCTTTGTTGAGCCTCACTGAATTGATACTTGCATCTTACAAGTTCAGACAATGAGCATTTGGAAAGTTTTTTTCTTAATGAGGGTGTGTGTTAACATGATGCCACATTTAAGTACATGTTTTTTCTTCAGTTCACTCAAGTCAAATTTCCAGGACAAGTCCCCACAGTTTTCTTGGATTTTCAGAAATGGTTTGTCATTGCCTCCTTCCTAGGACTGAGAGAGAGTGACTGGCTGCCCCAAATTCACCCAGCTGGTTTTGTGTATAAATGAGAGTAGAATGCACAGTCTCTTAGTTTCTAGTCTGGTTCCTTCACCTCTGCCCAAACTGCTTATCTTAGGCTAATTTATTCAGCTGCAAAAGGCAGAATCCTGCATTCTGAATAAGGTAAAGGTAAAGGTATCCCTCGCATGTATGTGCTAGTTGTTCCCAACTCTAGGGGGTGGTACTCATCTCCATTTCAAAGCCGAAGAGCCAGCCCGAAGACGTCTCCATGGTCATGTGGCTGGCATGACTAAATGCCAAAGGCGCACGGAACGCTGTTACCTTCCCACCAAAGTGGTCCCTATTTTTCTACTGCATTTTTTACATGCTTTCGAATTGCTAGGTTGGCAGAAGCTGAGACAAGTAATGGGAGCTCACCCTGTTACACGGCTCTAGGGATTCGAACCACTGAACTGCCGACCTTTCGATCGACAAGCTCAGCATCTTAGCCACTGAGCCACTGCATTCCGGCTGAATAAAGTTTGCCAATAAAGTTTATTAACTTAGCACCCTGGTATTAGTAGACATTCTTAGGGTCAAGTACATAAAACAGATGTAATTTTGTTGCTATTTATTTTTGTATTGGGGCATATGTGTTTTTACATTCGTTTTTAAATTTTTTAAATTTTTGTGAAGATGTGGGTTTTTTTAAAAAAATGGCTTCATAGAAAAAAACAGTGTTCTGCTCTCTGCATATTTGAGAAATTCAAGTTATTTTGCTTTGCCTTGAAATATAAATCAACCAATTTAACGATCACCCTTGATTTCCCCCAAAATATAAAAATATCTTCCTGCCTCTTGTTTCTGAAGAACCGATAATGATGATAATGCAATTTATAGGATGGATGGGCTAATAAACAATTAGAGTTCATTGTGAGACAAACAACAGTTCCTGCCTGAAATCTGAGTCTGCCTTCAATTAGTAAATAATCTATCTTGGTTTTAAAACTGTCTTCTTCAAGTCAGAAATCTTCCACTTAGAAGGTTCTGAAGCTTCGAGGTAGACTAACTAAAGCTATGCTTTGCTCCTTCATATCACCAGGATCTTACTTAATGTACTCTAGAGGACCATTCTCTAGAGAATCAACCACTGTTCTGTTTTGCTCTGAGACTGAGATAATCAGCCTGGTGTCATCCAGGAATTGTTAATTTCAGCTCTCGTAAATCTCAGCCAAAATGGCCAGCAGAAACATGTAGTTAGGAGTTCAAAGTCAAAAGAAAAAGTGAGAGTGAGACAACATTCTGTCTTCTTTTGTGAACAGACCTGTACTGTGGTTGGAAAGTACAGGTAATTCTCAACTGACAACTGAAAGTGTGACTGGAATTTCAGTCATAAATTACGGCAGTCATAAGTTGAGGCATCCGTATAACCAGGCCGATTTTATGACCATTTTTATGGCATTTGTTAAGCAAATCACATAAGTCTGAATCCATTCTCCCTTATGGGCATTGTTTGCCAGAAGCCAGCAAAATAAATAAATAAATCACAAATCTCTTGTCATGTGACCATGTGGCACTACAGCTTGTCATAAAGTGAGTCAGTTGCCAAGTGCCTGAAACGTAACTATCAGACGTAGAATCACAGCATTTTACAACAGCAGGAAGATGTTTATATGCCATAAAGCACCCGTTCTGAGGCTATTGGGATTCCAAATGGTCATTAAATGACCAGTAGTAAGTCAAGGACTACTTGTAGTGTATGTGTGCGAGAGAGTGAGAGAGAGAAAGGAATTATTTTGATTTGTAAATCTCAGTTTCAGAGGAATGCCTAATGGAATTAAGTTTTATTAAAGTAAAAACTTGGGTTTGTTCCTAAGCGCAATTGTCTCACATTCTGTAAATTAACTATCTTTATAGCCATCCACTATGGGCAAAACTTTATTGAGTGAAACATAATAAGAAATTGAAACCCAAAGATGCTTTTTCAAGAGGCAACTGGACTTTCTGGTTTTTTTCTTCAGCTCTGACTGGATAGTGGGGAATGGAAGGATTCAGTCAGAGCTGAAGAAGCTTCTTGGATGAGAAGCGAAACGTCTTCAAAGAAAAACAAGAAACTCCAGTTGCTTCTCGAAAAAGCACTTTTGAGACAACCATGACCTGGATGACTTGAGAATCTCCATAGACAAGAAATTGAAACATAATAAAAGGTTTCGGGTAGGCGGAACATTCTGGAAAGGCAATGCTAATACTGAAGTTCTCTTTGTCAGCACATCCTAATCTTTATTTTGCAAGGCAAATACAAAAATCTAGTTTCCTGTTCTGAAAAGGAACTGAACTTTGTTTTTATTAGAGGAAAAACAGTTTTGTTGATGATTAAAAAAAAAGAAGACTAGTCTCAGTTACTTGCTGCTGCTTGGATAAATTTCAGTTGATTTAAGAGGAGGAAAAATAAGAGACTGATCCACTTGGACCTTTTCCCCCAATTAGTAAACTACTATCTAGGAAACTGTTCTTCTGCTTTAAAAGATAAAATAGTAAAACCCTTTGATAAGAAGACTGCATATGGATGATCCTGATGGGATTAGCACTCCCCATCCTTGCTGACAGAAAAGGCAGGCTGTGGGCCCCTTGGTCAAGGAATTTTGGCTATCAGGGTCCAGGATACTGCTGAAAATCACTGGCAAAATTGCCAATTTTTATAACTATTATTGGTTGTTTCTCTTTTAAAAGGGTAGAAATGAAAAGAGAGCTGTGGAAGGTGAGTTTACCATTAGCATCCTTTTAAAAAATGTTTTAATGATTAATTTACTCCAAAACAGCCTGAAATTGTGCAGCCAGTAATTTATCCATGAGCTTCCATGCTCTACTGGAATCTGGCTCTCCCCATTGCTTTCCCTCTTGCACCCTAAAAAGCTGCAGATGGCTTGTATCAGAGGTATTTGGAAAATGCAGTCAGCCTTGGTGAATTTACCATGTCAAGTGCAGAGTTGGGATTTCTCAGAAAATCTGATTGGAATTAGACAAGTGGGTGAAAGATGGCAGCCAAGACATTTCTTGAGCCAAGTGAACAAACTGCTCGCATCCTATGCAGAATCCATAACCCTCCTGATGAACTGAAGTTCCTACTAACTTTAATCAGTGTAACCGTTAGTGAGGAAGTTTGGAATTGTCGTTTCAGCTGCATTTGAGAGACTACAGGTTAACTAACAATACGCTGGGATAATTAAACTTCCATGGTTTTTAAAAACTGCCAGCACTGTTTCCCTTCATGTTGAGATAGGAAAGTGATGAAAACGAGCATAAGCCTTAAAGTAGTTAATATAACACATACACACTTCCAATGCCCTCCAAAATTCGATTCCATTCACTTCATCTTCTTGAAATACGTCTTCTGTTTTCTGTTTTCAAGACTCCTTTGGTGAAGAGTTGAGTTCCACGTAAGAAATGGATTGCTTCTTATGTAACACCTAATGGGTGATTAACCCAAGCCTTTTGATGGGGAAACATACCTATACTTCATATTTTGGAGACAGATGCTGCAACTTAGGCCAATAACACAAAGCCTAAAAGTACAGAATGTTACCTTTTGAAAAATGCTGAAAGCAGATAAGGCAAATCTTTGCCATTGAAATTACGTAGGTATGTCTGTATAGGAATGCACTGTTACATAAAGACAGTACTTTGCTACAAAGTCGTGTCTGTGCTTCGAATACTGTACATATTTTGCTCTGCTGTAAGCGCTTTTCTTTGCGATATGTCTCAAAAATTTCAGTGTGTATTAAAGAAATAGTGGCATTATGATCCCACAAAAATTTTTTTGAAATGAGCAATAATTCTTCAGTAGAGCACTGTTGAAAACTTTAGATCAGTGGTTCCCAACCTTTTTTTGGCCATGCCCCACCTAAGCATCTCTAAAATCCTGATGTGACATATAATTCTTACTTTACTCAAAAAGTGAACTCTACTCATGCGGAGGAAGCCTAAAAGGCTATTAACTTGGTTTAAACAAGGTTCAAATTGCCCCCATTAAAAATCAAATTGCCCGCCTGTGGGGCATGGGCCCTACGTTGGGAACCACCGCTTTAGACGTTTGGTAGCCTTATAGAGTTCATTCATATTATAAGAATGAGGACCATTTTTTTGTTAAAAGCAACTTCTGGGAATGTCCCAGAATGTCAAAGAAATCACCCTAGTTCTGTTTCTCTCCCTCCTCCCACTCTGCTCTTTCAAAATGTAGTCATATTGATAATACTATAACAGCTTTTCTCATGTAATGTCATTCAAATATGTGGGTCTAAAGTAACCAGAAAGTTGTCAGAGAACCAGTTTTGTGTAATAGTTAAGGCACTTGGCTAGAGTCCAAGAATTCTGCACCCGTCTTAGGCACAAAGTTAGCTGGATGACTTTGGGCCAGTCCCTCTCTCTCAGCCCTAGGAAGCAGACATTGGCTACTTCTGAAACCTTGCCAGGAAAACTGAAGAGACCTCTCACCCCAATTGGACTAGCCTGCTCCACTCCAGCAGAAGTCTACTACGGATCCCGTCTGTTAAGCAATCCCGGCAGACAGGGTCAAGGAGAAGAGCTTTTTCCACTGTGGCCCCCATTCCTATGGAAATCTCTACCACCGGAGGTGAGAACTGCTCCCACCATTTTGAATTTCCGGGAGGGTATTAAAATTTGGGTTTGCCAGTTGCCTTGTGGCCCAGGCGGAGGAGGAGGTGGCATTCACCACTGGACTTGGTTGACTGGGTAAGAAGACCTTTTTTAAAAAAAACCCACCAGAAATCCTGATCTGGATTGGATGTGCTAGCTGAGATTACCGTAAACTACTTTGTCTGGAGAAAATTAGACTGCAGGAGGCTGCAGTTCAATTTACACTCTTGTTCATTTTACTTTTTATTTATTACATGTTGTGCCTTAAGATATGGTTGCACTTCAGTTCCCAATAGAGCAAATCAAATATGGCATTGGTGTGGGGCTGTTCTCTTTCCATTCAACACACTTGTTTCATATCCCACAAAGAGTGCTAGGTAATAGCTAGATCATACCTTATATATCAAGTAGGAATATTTTCATTTGTTTTTAAAAAGTGCAGTCAAGTACCACAGCACCTGCAAACCTGCGATGTTAATTATAGGGAGTCTCCCAAAAGACTTGATGCAGTGCTGGAACTTTTGCTGAAGGGGAATTAGGAAGACTACTGATCCAGCTGCTAAGCAGCAGAGGCCACAGCAGAGTTAAGACGATCAGGGATTTGTTTTGAAGACTGAGTCTATAGAGTCAAGTGATTTCTTGTTAAGTTTATATCCCATTTTTTCCCTTACATAACATTCTCTTCAGTTTTTCTTGAAATAATCCTGCTTTGAGGTAAATTAGGCACAGAGAGAGCTTGATTCACTCAAAGTCACAAATTGAAGAGGGATGTGAACCAGATATCACTTGCCACAGTAAATTTGGCATAAATGATGTCACAGGAAATTGAAATGTCAGGCAAACCATTTTATATTGCCTAATTCTTACCGCATCATACATCACAGTGATCCCAGTCTTACATTTAGGTTTCCATGCTGATATTATCAGGAACTTCCTCCATGCATGTCTGATCAGCCCACGTTATTTATAAAAGTGTGTTAGCTATCTTGCCATCCTTCTCATTAAAACAGGGACTTAGTCAGTTAACAACACTCCCCATTATTATTGCAGACCCCCCCCCAACAGTTTGTTCAGTTTGTTTTTATAGCAGAAGATTAAATCTAGACCATGGAATTATCTCGCCTTTGGTTCCCCTCTACTGATGGAGAAGAGCCAATTCAAAAGCTGAGAGTTGACAGATTCATTATACCAGCTTTTATGTTTGTGTTCTTCCACAAATGCATAATCATCACTACATCTCTGTGTGTGAGAGAGAGGGGGGGGAGGAGAGAGAATGAGTGAGAAGGACATGCTCCACATTTTGTGAATATAATTTAACAATACATTAATATTTTTGCCCTTAATTTCTTTCCAAGAATGTAATTCCCCATAGTAATATCTAGCAATATTTAGCAAAAAAAAAAAAAAAACACAATCACCAGAGGATATGCACTAACTTTACTTACGTTGATTACATCTCTAGCATGTACAATAATAATAACCAAACTTTCTGGAAACATCTGAGTCCAATAATCCCCCTCCCCTCCCTCCCCCCTGGCAGCTCCTCTGTTCTAATTGAATTGTGTCCAGGTAGGTGATGGTGTTTCTTAGTCTACTAATGCCAGTCAGGCATTATATATCATTTCATTTGCGTCAGAGCTCAGATTCCTGCCTGGTTACGTCATTTGACTTAAAAACATCATTTCCAACACTAAAAACGAAGCCTTGGTATATAATTTCAATAGGCTCAAGGAATATACTTCAGTCTTTTCCCCATAAGCAGGAGAAATAGCTGCTCCGGGTATAGATAGTTCTTGACTTACAACCACAACTGAGTTGAAAATTTCAGTTGCTAAACAAGACAGTTTGACAAACTGTCATAAGTCACTTTTTACAGTGCCATTGTAACATCAAATGGTCACTAAATGAATTGTTGTAAGTCAAGGACTACCTGTATGACTTCTAACTGATAATCAGTTGTTTCTTAACTGTTTATCTTCTGAGTTCAATGTCAACCAATTGATATGTTCCTGAATGTAGAATCTGTTGAAATTAAAGTACAACATTAAATGAGCTATGCATTATAATGCCATCCTGAATATTTCCTGTTTTATTCCTTGATGGTGCTGCTACAGAGGAGCCCCCAATTGCTTAAGAAAGAAATGTTCCTTAAATATGCAATTGTCCCAGAAACATAGAAAATTGACAGCAAAAAAAGACCTACTGGTACATCAAGTCTACCCTTTGAGGGGTTTTTTGTTTTGTTTTGTTTTCAATTTATTATTTTAATATTTTATTTATTTTTATATATTATTGCAACAACGGCCCCAACCATTCTCTTTTCTTACGAAGCCAAGTTGAGGGGAGGTTTTGTGACTCTGAGAGGAGAGCTGTTCATACTTTGTTCCTCCAAAAGAAGGAATTGTATTTCCAAATAAATTATGCAGAGGGAATGCACGTAATGACTCAAACCCTTTTATTAGTATGAAGTCAAGTCTTTAAGGTTTTGTGGAGGTAAAAACATGATGAAAATGATATGTTAAGAAGAGTAAAAGATTCTGGTGATATAATTCAGAAAAGATATGTGAGCATCATCCCTATGCATATTACTTCTTCCTGTCCCCACTAACATAAAAGGCAGTACTGTTATTATTTACCCAGGGCAGAAAAAGGTTCATTTAATCTAAGGATTAGGCTGTCTTCCTCTCCAGACCTATCTATTTGGAAGGCCTACAAATTGGGGAAAAGAGATATTTTATCAAGGTATTTATCTCACCCTGCACTTCTGAAATGAAGGATATCTTTGTCTTCTTATCATTGGTTGGAGCCCAGCTTGGCACATAAGGAAGTGGATTTCCCTGCCTACCAATACAAGGATTGATAAATTTTTGTTCATTTTCTTCTTCTAAGTTTAATGGAGTTACAGCATCTATATGTCTAGTCACATCAGGGAAACTTGAAGCTTATTCTGTGATTATGTGAGAAAGGAAAGAAAAAGAGAAAGAAAGAAAGAGAGAGAGAGAGAGAGAGAAAGAAGAAAGAAAGAAAAAGAAAGAAAGAAAGAAAGCTTTTTAGTATAGGAAATCTAAACTCTGCAATACAATTTTTAAAAGAGTGGTTAGGTTAGTCTGTTGCAATACAATTAAGATAATATTTTCTGATTCTTATAAAGCCTAATTTTATAGATTAGAAATAAAACTTCGATGGGTTTTGTTTAGTTGGTTTTATCATTTGCATGCCACCTCTATCCAATATTCAAAGAAATACTGGGTGACTCATAGCATAATAAAAACAAATGAAAGGACAATGGAGCAATAACAAATAAAACAATATTCTAAGAATTGCAAAAGCATTACATCACATTATAAAAACACATATGGGCTGTTACACAGCAATGAGCCAGCATGGAAATCAGAAGTTGGCTCAAATCACTCTTTTCCCCCCAAACATTCAACAAAGGAGTTGATGTCAGTTTGCAAGCTGCTCCATAGTGAGAGGACATTGTCTAAAAAGGCCTGTTTTCAAATCCCTACCCACTGACATCCTTGGAAGGGGATATCTACAACATGCCCCTTTGGCCTGCTCCTACTTCATGAGCAGATTCTAATTACTTACTTTTTAATTAATAAATTTAGAAACCATCTGACCCCAAATAGTTTTGGGCATTTAGAGTGGAGGGTCTTGAATATAACCTGGACCTCAGTAATAAACCAGTTTCTTGAATTCACCCGGAGACAAACCAGGAGCCAGTGCAGGTACTAAAAGCATTGGAATTACCATAGCTTTCATCTGTCAGCAGGTGGGCAGCAATATTTTGCACCAGGTATATCCAGGAGGAGCCCTATATAGACAACTGTAGTAGTCTAGGTCAGTGGTTGCTAAGCATTTTAGTCTCAGGATCCCTTTACATTCTTAAAATTGTTTGAGGACTTCAAGGAAGCTTGATTCCTATGTGTTATATCGATCAATATTTACTGTATTGGAAATTTAAACAGAGACATGTTTAAATATTTCTTTCAGAGGTGGGTTTCAGCAGGTTCTGACCAGTTCTGGAGAACCAGTAGCAGAAATTTTAAGTAGTTTGGAGAACCGGTAAATACCACCTCTGACTGGCCCCGCTCCCATCTATTCTCTACCTCAGCTGATCGGGAGGAAATGGGGATTTTGCAATAACCTTCACCTGGACTGGGGTGGGAATGGAGATTTTACAGTATCCTTCCCCTGCCACGCCCACCAAGCCATGTCACACCCACCAAGCCACGCCCACAGAACCGGTAATAAAAAAATTTGAATCTCACCACTGATTTCTTTATTTGACTTTGCAGTTCCCTTGAAAAGGTCTTGGGCTCCCAAGACCACCCTTTGAGAACTGCTTGTTGAGATGATAAGGGCTTGAGTTTCTGTTCAGTTTAATTGCTTATCCTGCAGTCTATTTTTTATGTTCCTTGTTCAATAACAGCCATTTTAAACTTGGTGATGCTGTATATTGGGATATAAAAAATGCTGATTTTTCTATTTTGTCATTTCTTTTGTATATATATATATATTATTAAAACTTTTCAACAAGAATATAAAAAACTAGCTCAAACATAAAGGAAGGAAGAAGAAAAAAAAGAAAAAGCAGAGAAAAAGCAGAAAGTGCAAGAAAAGAAAAAATAGAAAATAAACAAAAATGATCTTAAGTCGCTTCTGATATTCTTCAGAGCAGTTACAAGTACAAATACATTTTAACCACTCTCTCCAAAGTTGTATCACATTCTTCTTTCTATAATCCGGCCTGTCTATAATTGTCAAAACCATAAATCACAAATTCATTTTTTATTCTCGGGTGAGATTTCCTGTTCTATTTTATGCAAGAGCTGTTTAAAATGAATGCAAGCATATAACTACTTCCTTGTTAACTTATGTGTGCTTTTAATACAATGCATGAAGTACTGTATGTTCTCTCTACTGACAAAAACTTACATTTAACAAAAGAGAAGCATGATTGGAGAATGACATTAACCATAATTAATGAATTGAATTGAATTGAAATAAATGAAATGTTATTCTCATTCTAGACTGATTCCACATAATTTACGGGGCAATTGTGGGCCTTTAGTCAATGTTGTATATCCTGATCTAGGCAGATTGGTTTTGCCTTCATAATGTAATTTTTGGTTTGTTTGTTTTATACCTCTGATCTAGGAATCAATGGTGGTGCCTGCTTACATACAGTTCTACTGTGAAAGGGAATTGCAGGCTCATATATACCTTTGATTAGATTAAGAACCAAGTCCAAAAACCATTTGGGAACCATTTAGAGAGCAACTAATCTAACTCGGAGCAAAAATGCTTCTTTCAAAAAGACTTTTCAGCAAAATCTAATTTTATCTGATATTTAAAACAAATCATGAGAAACAATTCCATTTTAATAGATAGATAGATAGATAGATAGATAGATAGATAGATAGATAGATAGATAGATAGATAGGCAGGCAGGCAGGCAGGCAGGCAGGCAGACTGACTGTTATTGTCACTTTTCTGTGTATACAATGGCACACGTTAAAGTGAAATTCAGATGCCTGCTCTCAAAAGAAATATATATATATATATATATATATACACCCATACATACACACATATTGTATATATACATACACTCTGTCTGTCTGTCTGTCTGTCTGTCTGTCTATCTATCTATCTCAGTCCATTTTGAATACATGTGCTCAAAAACACATGTATTAGAAATATTAGTCCCAACTCACATATTCTGGGGTGTATCAATGTGAAAATCCAATTGCACAAAGGAGTATCAAAGCCTAAAAGGCCCAGTTTGTCTACTAAACGCTGAGGGGTGATTGTATTAAAAGCCAAACTAAAATCAACAAACGGCATTCACACATGGGAATTTCTTTCCTCTTAAGTGCGCCAAGCTCAGATGGAGAACAACAGAGGAAATAGCATCCTCTGTGGAGCGTTTCACCTGGTAAGCAAACTGAAGCGAGTCAAACGCTGGAGGGAGGCTGGATAGATTAAAATACTTTCATCAGCCTTTCGAAACGTTTCACCATGATAGACGTAAGTGCAGCCGGAAGATAATCAGAGTGTGAAGGAGGGGAAAGACAGATGAATCAATAATACTGTTTTATCCCTCGTTTTTCAGGTTGATGGTGGCAATTTGAAGCTCATCCGAGGGGTGGACATAAGAGGACAGAGTGCGGCCTATGCCTGTGAAGGATGCTGAAGAAAAGTAGCCTGATTGTCTGGGGCCTGGTGCTTTTTGTGGCCTGGAACGCCCTGATCCTTTTCTTCCTGTGGACTCGGCCACAATCTTTATCGGACCATAGCCGCTTAACTGAAGAGGTGATCCGACTGGCCCAGGATGCCGAGGTAGAATTAGAGCGCCAAAAGGAGCTTCTACATCAGATTTATCGCTATAGTTCACTCTGGAGCAAACGGAAGGCCAAAAACCTCCACCTGTCGGGTGCAGTGTCGGTCCAGCCTTCCACAGCTGCGTCCTTGCCCCATCACAATCAGATATCACCTGATGCCGTTTTGCCTGTGGTGGTGATTGCCTGTGACCGCAGCACAGTCCGCCGTTGTCTAGATAAACTATTGCATTACCGTCCCTCAAAGGAGCGATTCCCCATCATTGTAAGCCAGGACTGTGGACATGAGGAAACCGCTAAAGTCATTGCCTCCTATGGAGATTCTATCATGCACATCAAGCAGCCCAATTTAAGTGACATCCCTGTGCCTACCGACCATCGCAAGTTTCAGGGATACTACAAAATTGCTCGACACTATCGCTGGGCCTTGAGCCAAGTTTTCCGGACTTTCAAATACCAAGCAGCCATTGTAGTGGAAGACGACTTGGAAGTAGCTCCCGATTTCTTTGAATATTTTCAAGCGAGTTTCCCACTTCTACTGGCTGACCCAACCCTTTGGTGTATCTCTGCCTGGAACGATAACGGCAAGGAGCAGATGGTAGACGTTGCCCATCCCGAGCTTCTCTATCGTACTGATTTTTTCCCTGGTCTGGGCTGGCTTCTGCTCTCTGACTTGTGGGACGAGCTGGAACCCAAGTGGCCCAAGGCTTTCTGGGACGACTGGATGCGACAGCCTGAACAGCGGCAGGGCCGTTCGTGCATCAGGCCTGAAGTGTCACGCACAATGACTTTTGGCCGTAAAGGTGTGAGCCACGGTCAGTTCTTTGACCAATATCTGAAGTTCATCAAGCTCAATGACCGTTTTGTGCCTTTCACCCAGATGGACCTTTCTTACCTCAAGAAGAATAACTATGAACACTCATTCTTGGCCCAGGTCTATGATGCCCCTCAACTGCGTGTCGAAGAATTACAGGGGAACCAGCGCCGGGAGTTAGGTACTGTCCGAGTGCAGTATACCACTCGTGACTCTTTCAAGGCCTTTGCAAAAGCCTTGGGTGTTATGGATGACCTCAAATCAGGAGTGCCCCGTGCTGGGTATCAGGGCATTGTCAGCTTCCTTTACCGAGGCCGCCGTGTTTACCTGGCTCCTCCTCCTGACTGGACAGGCTATGACCCCAGCTGGAGTTAGCAGCTGATGATTTTTGAGCATGTTGGATCCCATCAGGGAAAAGGGTGCTTGGGTAGGGGTGGGGGGGGGGCAAAACTCTGTATTTTCTTCTCCTGTGTGGCATTCAAGGTGCATTCCAGGAATGAGGATTGTTTTGTGCACTTAATTTGGGGGAGGAGTTAATGGCAGGAGGAATGGGTTACGGGGTGGCGGGCTGTATTCCAAAGCCCCAACATCATAGATGAGAAGGAGCGTTCTGGGTTCTCTGTTCTCTCCCCAGTGCCCGCCTGCTTTCTTGACATTGCTGCCTGTCCACTGATTAGATCCTTGGTGGCTTGTCCAAATTGGTGCATGTTGAGGTCAAAGTGAATGCTAAACCAAAGCAGTGACCCACTGAAGTTTTCCCGGTTTCGTTGAGATACAGCAGGCCAGAGCAACTTGTGATCTCATGAGGCAGATGTAACTCCTCAGTCAAATAGTGTGTTTGGCCACAGACTTCATACATATCTTTAAATTCTAGCCAAGCAAAATGGGGAGGCTTGTTAAGTTGCCGAGAAACTATGACTCAAAACCGGCACACTGCATTCAACTTGATAGGTCACAGGTAAGCTGTAGGGAGAACATAAAAAGCTTTTCTCTCAGTTCTTGGCTGCTGCTTCACGTCTCACCTGGGCACCTGTAAGGTTTGGAAAGCAGGAAGCTCTTATGGATGATCATTGAATCCTCAAAAGGACCATCTTTATTGACCATATTGGCCATTTTTATGTTGATCTCTTAGATATCCTAATCCTTTAACCCTATTGAATGGGACAGTGGAGATACAATGTGCACAACGACAAACTTAATATGATTGTCACTCAGATGAGATGGAAAGGAAGGTCAGAGCCTCTTTTATTGCTTTTATTTGGGCACTAGGATAGAGTAGTCACAGAGCATGAACACGTGCTACCCTTTTTATAGCTCCATGCTGGGACTTGTTAACTTTAGCTTAAATGAAGTTTTGGATGGAGGTGGGCATTTTTCTTCTCATCCTCTTACCTGGTATTGAGATACATGAAGGTTTTGACTTTGCAGCCTTCTAGCCGGTGCCCGGTGTCAAATGGTCCTTTCTCTAAGCCACAACGGGAAATGATGGGCTGCAAGTGGGCCATTAAATTTGAAAGTGGCGCCTGGGGAGGAAGGCCCAAAGCTAGCTCTTTATGACGCATGAAGGAGCAGTCGGACCTTTCAGCCTCCCCTTGTAATCTGAAATGATGGAGGCTTCCGGTATATCTATTTAAGGGAAGCTGACCAATGGCTTGAGGTCGGTGCCATGTTCTCTTCCCAGGTTTATGAGGAGAACTTGCCCAAGGCTGCCTTAATTTCCCTGGTGTAGGAACTCCATCCAGATCTACGGCAGAGTGTGCTGGTGGCTCTGTTGCATTTCTTTTAATTACTGGGGTTTTTTTTCCTGAATGGCCATATTGGAATTGGTCATTGCTACATATTTAGAACACTGGGCAGTAAAATAGAATGGAGGAAGGAGACTCCTTGAGGCATCGGAGCATCTCATGAAAGGACTTCTCCAAACAAGGAGTCCAGCCTTATTCAGTGGGGCAGAGTCCAATCTTCCCTATTCTTGCCTTTGGGAGTTGCCACTGAGCTGCTCCAGATGCCACTTTATGAGGCAGGCATGAGGAAGCGACTTCAGACCTCCTTTGGCCAAAATTTAGACCACACCAAAGGGTATTGCGTTGTTTGAATGCTTATTACTTTTTCTCTCTTTTATGCGTAAGACCACCTCCGTGATGAACGGAGGAAGGAAGATTGTGTTTTGGCATTCCACTTCAGTGAGGGGAGGTTTTCCCTTTATATATCTGCTCCTCTGGTTGGTGCAAGTGGGCAGGTAGGAGATGGTGCCTTGGGGAGACTGCTTTGAATGGTTTGATGCATCTGCTTACGTCCTGAGATTTTTCTTTTGGGGAAAAAAAAGAAACGAATGCTGCAGAGGAAGAGGCTCTCTAAAAATAAAAATAAAAAAAAGACCGACTGTGATCTGCATCTGGAATGTTGATAATTTGGACATGTTCATACGTTGATTTCACTTTAATTCTCTGCAAGAGACTACCATTTAACGATTTTCTAGGTCAGGCTTCTCTTTGAAAAGAAATGTGTAAAGTAGGGCAGAAATGTGTATAGAACAGGAGTGGAAATGTCTCCACGGAGAGCAAAGATCTTTTGGCATGATGTTACTCACTTTTAACAACGTCCTGGATAGACATGCGGAAATGATCACTCAAGTCATCCGTTGACAATATGGTCCCCATCAGAACCATTGTACTCTACCTTATCTGGATGCGGAGGGTGTGTGAGGAGGAGAGAGAGGGTTGTAATGGAAAATCATTTTATTTTTTTTTTGGCAGGTTATTTAATCTCTAACTTTCAAGATTTGCTGGATCCTGGCTGAAGAATTGCCATTTTTAAAACTAGAAACAGCAAGAGAGCTGTTCTTACTTTTAGTATTATGTTCTGGGACTCAGCCTCGATGTCTCAGTTTGCAAGTTATATTGCCATCTCCTTTCAGTAGAAGGCAGCTACTGAACTTACAGAGGAAGGGAGGGGAAATGGAAATTTCTTTTCTTTTCGGGTTCCCTTCTCCTTTCATTTCTGTCCTCTGGTGCTCAGTCAGCCAATCAATCAGGGAAGTGAAAATAGGAGGATAGAGATACTACATCATGGTTTCCCCCCCCCCCCAATCCTCAGTTCTGTGTAACTTAATCCACACCATCTGTAGCCCAAACTCTCTCCTTTGGCCTACTGTCTGTGTTCGTGTTTTGTCCTGGGTCACAGTGAAATGATCATATTTTCCATTCCAGTTTGTGATTTTGGTGAAACAATTGGAAAATGCTCAGCGGAGACCCCAGCAGAAAGGAAAACCCACCAGCAGCTACCATTTTTCTCCCTTTCTGTCCTGAGCTGCCTCCTGTTCCTGAAAATATCTCTGCTGAAAAATAAGTGTCACCACATCTGGATGTTTGAATCAAGGTTGTTTGATGGAGATACACTAATTTTATGTTGACAATTAATTAGTGAGAAGAGCTTAAAGAAGCAAAAAAAAAAAGTTATTTTCCACAATAAAATAAAAACCGTTCCTTTTCAGACAATCTGTGTAATTGATCTCATGCAGCAATTTATTGCATTGGTAATGTTTTAAGAGGAGACAGGGGCATAACATTGTCTCTTTAGAGGCCTACACCACCATTTGTTACTCTCCACTTGAACGAGGAAAAACTCCTGGCATCCAAAGTAGCATTTCTAGGCACGTCAAATATATATTTACATCAAATGAGATCAAGACCCTTTTCTCTGTTGTTCCAGAGTGCGGGACATGGGATAATGGGTTTAAGTTACAGGAAGACAAATTCCAGTTGTTTTTCACTCTTACGTTTTTTCTAGCTTTTTGATAGGGCTAACTAGTCAAAAGAAGCAATGGACAACCATCTCTTGAGGATGCTGTAGAGTTTGGGTTGCATTGAGCAGAGGGTTGGACACAATGGTCCAAGTGTTCTAGGTCTTCGATTTTACCTCCAGGTTTATGAAGATGGATCAGAAGGATCAAAAGTCCCCTTTAGCAGTGTTTTTCAACCTCAGCAACTTTTAAGATGGGGGAATTCTGGGAGCTGAAGTCCACACATCTTAAAGTTGCTGAGGTTGAGAGACTGCCCTATAGCAACAATGATTTCTGTCATGGAAATCCCAGGTACCATTCACTTTCCCTGCTGATATTTCCCCAACACTTTTCAAAAGCAGTCCCTTCTTTCTCTCTCTCCCCCCAATCCCTGCTTCCTACCTTGCTATCCTCAATTTATGCAAAGCCCTATATTATTATTAGCATTATTATGTAATCCAGCTGTCAAAGCTCCAGGACGCTTCCTTGCATTTCAGTACTGATGTGTTTGAATGAAATACATGGAAGGCAGTGGTGGGTTGCTACCGGTTCGCCCCAGATTGGGCGAACCAGCAGCAGCAGCGGGAGGCTCCGCCCACCCGCCCGGACATCATCAAATGCGATCTGTGCATGCGCAGAAGTGGCAATGCGCACGAGCAAGCCGGTAGCAAAGGTAAGTGAAACCCACCCCTGATGGAAGGACATATTACCATACCAATGACTTCTTGTTTTGTGGGCAGCCTGTGTTGCTTTGTTAAGCAACAAGATACCTTTATCAAAACCACTTAGATTTCCGCCAACTTTTTAGTTGATGAGGATATGCAGTTTGAGAAATAGCAAATTGAGAAATTATTGCTTTCTGAAATTCCAAAATTTCGAGCTCAGGTTCTATGCACTTCTTCAACGAGCATTTATTTAGCATGAATGCTGCTATTTATATTGGTAATGCAAACACAACACAACAATTCCACTCAGTTGGCTGTTTATGGTTGATTATTCCATTTCAAATTGAACAATCCAGACACTGCGTTTGTTTTGCTTCTGATACTTTTTCTCCAGCAATTTCATTTTTTGTTTTAATTATTGGCAGGACCCTGTGGAGCAGCAACTGGTAAAAAGCTACTAGTGCAAGTACTAGTGGAGAGTTGCCATTCTCCCTTCCTTACAGATTTTTCAGGAAGTGCCTCCGTGCTTTCAAAGCTCTTAGAAAGTACCTGAACCTTATATAAATACGGATGCGGGCACTGGGTATTAAAAAATTTGGCAGTAGGCTAATGGGATCTGCTCTTGTGCGTCAGAATATGTACTCTGAAAAGAACATCCAAAGAATGGTTGTGCAATGGTTGATTGATTTTTTACGTACAGGTATTTTTACTCTGCCAGATGGCAAGTTCAGACATTGATTAAAGCAATTAAACAGAGGGATAGTTTATAAATCCTGTGACAGGCAATTGTTTGCAAAAGAGAGAAAATTATGTTACTTTCTGGCAGTACTGAGAAAAAGAGACAGAATCATCTGCCTAAGAAAATGAAGAAAAGAGAGCTAAGGTGAACCACTCTTTTTTCCATGTTCACTGTCTCAAACTAAGCCCCACAGAGAAGTTCTCCAAGCAGATGTTTTTACTGACAACTAAACAATATTTATGAGAGCAAGAAAGAGAAAGAATGTCTAGTTTTGTTTGCTTGTTCCCTTTTAAATAAGGAGCCTGGATTATTTTGGAGGGTTGGATAAAAGGTGAATACCATGTCTGAAAAGATTGTGAACCACTGGGATATATTATAAAGAAATGGCAAGATTAGACGTTCGCTAGAAGTGAAGTCATGCACTTCCGTGCCACTCACTAACCTAAAACAGCTGCATTTCAGAAGATTGCTCCCATATGGGATCCTATCCCCAACTCTTCAGTTGCTGAAGAGCAATACGTCATCGGAATGTGCTGCCATAGGCCTGGTCTCTAGGCTTTCTATGGGCAACTAATTGTCCACTGAGGAATGCATAAGGCTGGACTAATAATGGATCACTGCTGTCACCTGAAAGGGACTGGCTCTGAAAATATATTGGGGAGATCAAGAAGTTTCTCCTTTCCTTTTTTGAGTACCATTACTTGTAGAACATCCTTGTGGTGGCTTCTTACCTTCCGAGCCTTCCCTATCCTTTCAAAGGTGGTAGGCCACTTGATGTCTCTGGGTTTTTGATTTTACACTTACCATTAGCAGTACTTGTTGAAGCTGATGGAGTGAAAACATTTAGATCAGTCTTCCTTAACCAGTGCTCTTCAGATTTGAAGACTTTGACTCCCAGAATCTCTAGCCAGCATGATCAGTGCTAAATTGAGACTATATATGTGGAAGCTGCTAGATTGATTGGAGAAAACTAATCTGGACTACAAAAGGAAGGCTGGTAATTCTCCAAATAAAGATGTCCAACTCTTTGGCTGCCACAATTATCAGTTAGTATAGTAAGGACTGCAGTCCACAACATCAGGAGAGCCACAGAGATCTCTCCCTTAATCCTAGAAGGTACCAGTTGACCTACATATAGTCCTCAGTTGACAACTGCCCAGTTTAACAACTATTCAAATTTACAACAATGCTGAAAAACTAACTTTATGGCTAGTCTTCCAATTTAATGACTCAGCATCCACAACCACATGATCATCATTCAGGCATTTCACAACTGGTACACATTTATGATGGTTGCAGGGTCCCAGAGTCATGGGATAGGCATTTGTGACCTTCTGATGACCTTCTGTCAATTTGGCTGACTTCTCATAGGGAATATAGATTTTGGAGCAATTGTCCATTCAGGCACATTCTTTTAATGGAGTTACTTATCTTCTATCAAGCTGGTGTTGACTCTTAGTGACCACACAAGACAGTCGCTGCAGAAAAGTCCACCCATCTTGCTGCTAGTCATCCTCCTCTTCCACTATTATTATGTTGTTATTGTTTATCACACAATCAACCAGATGTTCAGACTGGAATTGGCATTTTTATCCACCTATTGAGGTCTTCCCATGGACCTAGGATAGACAGATGTGAATGGTTCATGGTATTACATTATTATTCTTACTGTTGTTCAGATTTGTATCTTGCCTGACTGGGCAGCTCATAACAATGGAAGAAATTACAATAAAATCAATGAAACATAACAAAGATAAAAAGATGCCAAGCATGATGACGTGAGGACCTTTTACCCCTGCATGAAAGGCCTAGGGCTAGGCCAACAGATTTTTTTAGCACTAGTGATATTACTGTGTTTCCCCGAAAATACAACCTACCCTGAAAGTAAGTCCTAGCTTGATTTTTACACATGGGCCCATTATAAGCCCTACCCCCCAAAATAAGCCCTAATTAAGACCCCGCCCACTCCAGGGTGCACAGGTAAAAATTAAGCTAGGGTAGGGATGGGGGCTGGAGCTGCCCTACTACTTACCTTCAGACAGTTGCAGCCAAGCCTCGCATACTCCAACACCTGCCTTGCCAGCCCATTTCTTCTGCAGCCGACAAGGCCAGCAAGGCTTTCCTGAAGGCCTCTGTCGCCGATAACAGCTCCGGATTGAGCCAGAGCTCTGTTATCGGTTGCAGAGGTCTTCAGGAAAGCCTT